GATGCAGTGGTGAGGAAGGGGGTGGGGATGAGGAGGAGATGGAGTGGTGGGGAAGGGGCATGGGATGGGAAGAGAAGGAAATGGGGGCAGGAGGGAAGCTGTAGTCCAGCATGCGGCATCCCCTTGGCAGAAGCTGGGGCTCCCCTGTTAAGCAGGCCCATCGAACCCTCACCCTGACAAGCCCCACCTCCCCTGCATCTGTACCACCCTGATAAACCCCCCCAGACACCCTCTCCACTGAGCCCCAACCACCTGGACCCCCACCCAAATGAACACCACCTCCCCTGCACCTAGACCCCCCTGCTGAGCCCCAAACACCTTCATCTGGATCCCCTGCAGAGTCCCATTGCCCCTGCTCCTGGAACCTCTCAATGAGCTTCTGTGCATCCAGATCTCCCACTGAGCCGCCCGCACCCAGATTGCCCCACAGAGAACGCTCTTACCCCCACCTGGATCCCCCCACACTAAGTCCCTTGGATCCTGCTGCCGGGCTGAGCCTGCTCACCCACACCTGGTGTGCCTGGCACAGGGAGGCAGGGCCCCAGGGTGTTTCTGGGGAAGGCCTGGCACTTGCACTGTGTCAGGGTCGGGTGCAGCCTCACTGCCAAGTCCCTGTCCCGGGGTGGGGGGAGGCTGCAGGATAATCTCCCACCTCCATGCAACCAGTGGCCTGTGCACCCCACTGCCATGTTGGAGCCTCCACATTTATTTATTGACAAATAAAATTTGCAGAATTTATAATTTTTTGGTGCAGAATCCCCTCTGGAATATGGGGTGCTGTGCAGCTGTGATGGTGGGACTGTGGGGAAGATGGTGGGCAGTGGGGAGGTCTATGGGCGGGGGGTGCTGGGCGAGCGGTGTGGTGTGCAGGGTGCTGTGCAGTTGTGGTGGGGCTGGGCATAGAGATCTGTTGTGGAGATCTCTGGGCGAGGGGGCACTGGGCATAAGGGTGGGGCACAGGGGCAGTGTGGGCCTGCTCTCAAGGGGAAGGGGCATGCTGGCAGCACAGGGTTGGGCAGGCCAGTGTGCATCTGGCAGTTGCAGGTTTGTAAACAGTGCCCTCCTGCTGGGCTGCGCAGAGCAGGGCTGCTCCCGCCACGCTGCTCCCGCCACGCTGTGCCTCATTGCCCCCAGCCTGCCCTTCACTCTGGAGACTGACCATCCCGCCCCCCTGCACCTTGTCCCATGGGGGCCCATAAATATGTTTGGCGCTGGGCCCACAAAAAGTTAATCCGGCCCTGTCCAAGGCTGCCGCATTCCAGAGAGTGTGTGTCACAGCCAGCGATGCTTTGACTCGCCTCTTCGCCAGCTGATTAGAATTTCACACACAACCTGGCTCTGGGGGTTGGGGTGGGGGGACTAATTGATCTAATCTCAATATACGCTTGGGTTAAGGGGACTGGCCGATGGCTGCTTTGCCTGTTTTCTTTACCATAGTTACTAACCCCGGCCAACAATCGCCTTTCGTTGCCGAATCCCGAATCGCTCTGAATGTCTGGCAATGTCCCCGACCAGCGAAGCGCAGCCAGTTGTAGGTGTCACCCGCTCGGATAGATGTGCGCAGCTGGGCACTCTGCAGCCACTCACCTGCCGAAGGATAACCAGGGGGCCCCATCCTCTGCCTGCCCCGCTCCGGACTGCTGCCGTGGGAGGAGGAACGTCTTTCCCAGCAGCAACCCAATCCGTTGCCCAGGCTAGGGGCTGCGAGGGCGAGGAAGGCAAAGCAGCCCCCCGGGGCCGGGCCCGGGCCCATTCATTCCCCCTGCGGGCAGGCCCTGGGCCGTTCGCACCGAGCTCCGCGCCCGAGCCCTGGCAGGCTGTTGAGTGACAGGTGCCGCGGGGCTGCGCCAGCGGGGACCGGGCTCCTGCAGCCGGGGAAGGGGAAACCTGGGTTCTACCCGCCCCGCCCTCCCGCGGCAGCTCGCTCGCGCACAGGCCATGCCAGGACAATAGAGCGGCTGGCGCCCAAATAGAACCACCGCTTTTTCTTGAGAAACGAGAAAAAAAACACCTCACCGCTGATATCGTTGGTGCTTCTAATAGGCTTGAGTTAGGAGGGGACTTTCTCTTGGGTGTATTTTTAAAGCCCTTTGGCATCAATAACGGCTTTACGCTGCTGTTAGGACCCGGGCAGCGGCAGCCTAGTTCTCAGCAAGAGCAGAGCGCGGACTGAGCCTGGTGCTGCGGGAGCATCCCGGGGAGCCGCCTTGTTGTGCCGGACCCTCTGCCCGGGCGGGGCGGCCGCACTGCTGCGGGAAATCTCCCAGCTCCTCGCCGGAGCGCCCCCGCTCGTCCTTCTCTAGCAGCCCTGGCGTCTCATGCACGGCTAGGCAGAGACTGCGCCGGAGTCCGATCTCCCACCTGGGTAACAGCGCTGCTAGTTGCCAGCTCTTGAGATATTTGGTGTGTTTGTTTTTTGAAAGCCCCAGCTCCTGGAGTCATGTTATTAAGAAAGAATCTGGCATTTCATTTTTAAAAGGTCCTCATGGCAGCTGAGAAAAAAGTTGGGAACCCTGAAGGATCAAAAAAACAGGGGTAACTAAAGAGACACAAGCATTTATTGGCAAAAAGAACAGCAGTACTTGTGGCACCTTAGAGACTATCAAATTTATTAGTCTCTAAGGTGCCACAAGTACTCCTGTTCTTTTTGCGGATACAGACTAACAGGTCTGCTACTCTGAAACCAAGCATTTATTGGTATGTTGTTGTTTTTTTAAGTCTCAGCTTTTTCATCCAGTTACCTGATTTTTGGGATTGCCTGACTCATGATTTTTGAACACTGGAGGGGTGGCAATAGTGAATTTAGTGATATGGAGGGGGCTGGCTCTCTCTAAAGAGATTCCTGGAAGAGTTTAAGAGCCTGCATTTGCAACCCTTACAAACATGCTTAACTTTACTAGCATGAGCAGTCCATGTGTCTGAAGTCAAAGGGAGTACTTATACTAGTAAGGCTAAGCACATGCATAAATGTTTGCAGGATGCATGTCTAGGGAGGCTTTCAGATTCAAGGAAAATTTGACTCCTTATTTACCTTTAGCAACTATCAATATGTATAAAGCCTAAGATCAATAGGAATGTTTCCATGAAATAGTTATTTTAAAAGTTCCAATTAACAGGCTGGTAGGAGGGAGGAGTCTAAGAACCAATACACTTTCCCCTACAATATTTGTGACTCAGGCTGTGCACTCACAAGCTACTGCACACAGTAGCTCTGGAGCTCTGTTGAAGCCAACGTAATGTTGTGTGGGGCAGTTTGCAAGATAAGGATCTTAAAGATCGAACAGTGTGTTAACGCATAAGAAAGTGAAATTAACTATAAAGTCATTAGAAACAAAAGTGAAAAAGAGTAGCCTATTCCCATTGTCCAAGCTGAGAAATGCAAAAATAACAATAAAAAGTACAAAGTAAATTGGATTTTATGTTTTTTATTTAATATTATAAGATGCCATTAGTAAAAGTAAGGACATTTGCTTGTTTTTTAACCTGAAAAACAAATTGGCACTGAAACCAGATTTGAGATTATCACCATCTGTCTGGTGCATTCAACTCTAGTCTTTTATTTTTAAATTAATTAATGAAGATAGAAGATTTACATATCCAGTTGTAAATTAAACTGTTTTTCTTATAAGCAGTCATTAGGAATGTAATGGACAGCTGAAATGTGCACTTTTGGCCAGATTTACCACTGTTACTCTTGTTTTACACTGGTATAACTCTATTAAAATCTGTGGAGTTTCCCAATATGGCACAGAGCTCCATGTCTTGATTTCAAATAAAGATGCCTGACCTGCATGTGCACAACAGACAGTTGCAAAACCTATAATTCCTTGCCCTTCCACTGGCTCCCTCTCCCCTCCCCAAAATAAAAAAGAACCAGAAGTGTGAGTGGCTGTTTAACCCCATAGGGGAAATTTCAAAATAGTTGAAGGCACAAAATCCACGCCTAAACATCTTCAAGGGATTTGCATGTGGAATTAACAATGTTATTGAGAAGCATTCATGTTGTAATACTCTGTATTTTTTACATGATTCCCAAATTGATAGTGACTGACTGTAAATATAAGGAAATGGACACCAGAGAATTCAGTCTTTGTACTATGGAAGTGCTGCCATATACAATACAGGATGGGGTAAGGAGAATTACTATGCAGAATTTCCTTAAACCCTCTAGCCAGAGCCCTGAAATTGGAATTTAGATAACAATTTAGTGGACGAGGCACAATCCCAGAACAGAATCCAGCTCACTCTCCCATAGCCATATTAACTCTGTAGTGCTAACGGAACGGAGTACAGTACAAATAGTAAACTTTTTTTTTATCACTAAAGTCAACAGACAAGACTATGAATACACACCGTGGCCAGATCTGTCGAGTAAGGTAGTGCCATTTTTTTTAGATGATACTTTGCTGTTGTCTTAAGATTTAAGATTCAAACTGAAGGGAGCAGGGAACACCATTTTCCCCTGTTAAAATAGTTAGTTTTGTAAAACATAGTCAGAGGAGAAAATGGATGGGAGTTCTCTTTGTTCAACATTTATGATCACAGATTTTTCCTATTCTCAAATCTTTAGAACAGCTTAAGTATGGACTTGATGGCTTTGTTTCTGTTGAAACAGTACACTTATGACTCTCTCTGTATTTTAATGTGCCCATCACCATGATATCTAGAAACCTGATATCTTGTTAGGATGTCACATGAATCCCCAACTCAAATTGCATATATAACAACAGAGAGACAAAGTGGGTGAGGTAATAGCTTTTATTGGACCAATGTCTGTTGGTGAAAGAGATAAACTTTTAAGCTTACACAGAGTTCTTCTTCAGCTCTCAGGTGACCCATCTTGTCTCTCTAATATCCTGGAACCAACATAGCTACAATACTGCATGCAACAATATTTAACAATAATCATAACTCATTAGCTTTGAAGGTCATAACCCTTATCCTTCCAAGTCCCTCCCCCATTCCGTTTTTGTGTTTTTCCAGTATAGGCTGTTAGCTCATTAGCACAAGGACTTGTCTTTTTTTCATCTGTCAGTAAGGTCATGCAAACTGTGATACTAAGCATCCCTTTATTCACACCCTGCATGCTATTGTAATTCTTTGTACAAAACATGCCTTTGAGGTATCATCTGAAAACTAATAACTAACAGGTCAATAATATTCTTGTGTGACGCATGTACGTGATGGGCATTAAGAGTTATGAATATCAGCTGGAATTATAACTAAAGTGTGCGTAAACAGGTATGTTGGTGAAGTTGTTAAATAAGTCTCTCCTAAACAGAAGAATGTGTGTTTATCCCAGTTTATATATGAGCAGTAAACAGACCCATCAAGCTAACAAAGGGTGGAGGCAAACCTCACATTAACAAATGGGGGAAGAGACAGCATGGCATCTCCACCCCTCCAAGGAGAGAAGCTTGGCCTGAGTTTTACTTTTCAGAAGAATCCACTGCAAAGGTTCACTGGTCTATAAAGACAAGGGGGGGGGGTGAACCTCAAGTGTTAAGCAATTGAATCAAATGACTCTATACAATATTAATGAATGATCAGAATGTATTGAGTGAGGTCTTCTCTGAAAGCTAATGACACACTGGTTATTAATATCATTATGAAAAGTATGTATTGGCACTCTGAGGGGGGTTGTGGATGCTCACTGATATTGGGCTGTGCAGTCTGCCCAGACAGGAGGGAATGTCACAGCTATCTACTTGTTTCCTGTGTAAATTAAGCACTGTGGAATAAAAAACAATGGAAGCCCCATTTATGTAGAAATCATTCAGGAGGATGGGAAGCCCGCAGGACGAGAAGAACAGCATGAGATTCCCCCTGCCTCTTGAAACAAGTTAATTGAACTTTGGAAGATATAATCAAGGACAGAAGCCATCTCTGGCATCCATCACTAGACAGACACAAAAGAAGAGAAGGTTACTCACCCTGTGCAGTAACTGAGGAGAATCTGTGATTTGATGGGTTATCTCCCTGCTTGCGGAGGTGTGCCATCATTACCACAAACATTTTGGAAAACACCAATGGTGCTGTCAAAATGCCAAAAGGTAGAACTTTGTATTGCTAATGTTCTGTTCCCAGAGTAAATCTGAGGAACCTCCTGTGAGTGGGATGTATGGTTATGTGAAAATAGGTGTCTTGGAGGTAAAGGGCCAAGGATCAGTCCCCCTGTTCCAGTGCTGGTGTTGTTATTGCTAAAGTGACCATCCTGAACCATTGGACCCTTACAAATTTGTTGAATTGTCTGAGGTCTAGAATAGGTCTCCATCCTCCTTTTTCTGGGTTAAGAAGTAGTGAGAATAAAACAACTTCCCACTGATGATACCAGCTCCACAGCACCCAGATTTAGGAGGTGGTTTACTTCTTACCATAAAAGATGTTTGTGAGAGGGGTTCCTGAAGGGGGGAGACGGGGGGAGGGAAGAAGGGGAGGGGGGATGGAGGTGAATCAAATAGCCTGTGTGGATTATTTCTAGAACCCATTTGTTTGTGGTGATGGATTTCCACGCCGAATAGAAAGGAGTCAAACAATGTCCAAAATGGAGATGGTTAGTGATGGTGTCAGCACTGAGGAATGGGGGAGGTTTCTCAGGCCCTTGACCAAACCCTCAAAATTGTTGTTTTGCAGAGGATCGCTGGGACACCAATGGTTGAGCTGGAGGTGGTCGATACTTTGGAAGTCTCTGTCTGAGCTTTTGTGTGTCATATTGCCTCTGTTGTTGGGTGTATGGGGCAGACCTTGTACGCTGGGTGGGATAGTATTTACCCTGTTTTTTACTTGATACAGGTGTGTATATCCCAAGGGGATGAAGGGTCACCTAAGTGTACTTCAAGGTGTGGAGGGACTTGTCAGTCTTTGCTGCGAACAGCTTCTGGCCATCAAAAGGGAGGTCTTCCCTGGTGGGAACTGGACAGGTTGAAGCCATGAAGCTCAGCACATAACCATGGTATTGGCTGTGGAGAGTGCTGCCATGTCTGCTGCATGTAAAGACGCTGTAAGGAAGTCCTGGCTAGGAAATGGCCCTCTGGGATGATGGCTTTAAGTTGGTCTCTTTTGTCCTATGGTATGTAGTCAATAAAGTCCATCAGTTTGGAATAATTTGTGTGATCATATTTCGCCCTCAGTGCAGCATAATTGGCAATCCAAAAT